GAACACTTCGCATTGTTCTCGGTTGGGACTCGAGTTCCGAACCCACGATATCCAGATCATGTGTTCTCAAACGTACTGAGTATTCGGTACGGTACATTATTACACGTAGATTTTGCCCAACCGTTTTTCACCTATTTGATTTTCCTGACGCAAAAAAACAGTTATTATCAATTCCACAGTGAAACGTGGTTAGGCTCGTATGGACATGTAGCTCTGACGATTAGTGTTCCAAAATTTTGTTTAAAAACATACTCATTTTATATACAAATTTCGGAAAATATTTTGAGCCACTCCGTAATTTCTTTTCTTTCCTTCCTTCTATATTTTCTTCACTGTTAAATGTCATACTTTTTGCATTAATCGTATTGTTTTTATCGTTACATAATATACATACTACTGTACCATATTGTTAATAAATTACATAGTTCCACTATTATTATATATTACACATAAAAATTATGTAATGCCTAATTAAACGATTTAAAATAAGTAAATAAATTGATTAATTAAAAAATAATAATAATAATTATATATAAAAATGTGTCTTGAGGATATTTCCCGCACGATTAAAATCGTAATAGTACTGGTATGGTTTCAACATTTTGCGTTTATTCATATTTTTCATAATTTTTATACACTCACATAGTCACTTGTTTAGACCTAGGCTAGACCTCGGATATGCCTATTACTATATTATTTAAATATACAATTTAAAGAATAAAGGAAGAAGGAAAAAAAGGAAAGAGATTTGGAGCGGCTGAAATACAGTGGCGGATACAAGGGGTTCAAACGAATCCCCCCACCCCCCGTGAAGAAAGGTAACAAAATACTATTGGTTCCTGGCTTACAAAAGGCACATTACCAACCCTCTCGCATCGTGCGGGACGGTCCCGCAATTCAAAGTGATTTGGATCTAACACGCATTTGGCAGAAACACATGCGTGATCTTAAATTTGTCACGCATTTAGTCTACGCATGGCGACGAATAATCACGAATTCAGGGAAAATATATTTAAAATTAGAAGAAATTAGTTTTATTAAAAATATAAAACAATCATGCAGTAACTTGAGTCATTAGAGAGCTCCCGTTATCTCGTTTGATATTCAATTCACCGAAAGCTTCGGCGGTGCGTGCGGTCTTGCGCGTTCATTGTCACAACCAATGTTGATTATGTGACTGAAACTGCAGTTGTCAGCATCAAACACGCACGCAGTCAGGTAAGTACAGTATTTACGTGAATACTTAATTTACTGAAGCGTTACTAAAAATTGATTGGTATGGTTAACTGGTTCTGGTTATGGTGGGTAAGGCCGACCTTCAAACGTGTAGGACCATGGTTCCTAATAGGTGGCCCGTGACCGTGGGCCAAATTTGACCCATGAAGCTATCCAAAAATAAAGACAAATTAAATTAAATATTTTGATAAATAATTTT